CCTGCCAACTTAGAGTAGTGCCTAAAGATTACTTTGTGCGGCTATAAACGACCGTTAAATGAAATGATGGATTTTTGAAGGATTTTGAAAACGGAAAAAATGATAGTCATGCCGGCCCAGCATCATCAACATTGAAAAATGCCCCGGCATGAAGTGGTTAAAGCAAATAAATTGGCAGCAAAAGTGACCAAGAGTGCTACATCTACTACAGGACCGTACAAGGGGAATATGTCTTATCCATATTACTCTGCAGTGAACAGAAAGTTTCGGGGCAGCAATCCCATCAAGGGTTCTGCAATATTTTGTTGAAAACTGGAGATCTCTTACAACAGGTAGTTGGACACTTCAGTCAATAGTGGGTCAAAAGATTGAATTTTTAGATGTTCCCTTTCAATCACAAAACAGAATGCCGATAACAGAAATGAACGCTCAATTTTATGTTATGAAAGGGGCAGTCACTGTGGAAGAACCAGTGATTCAACAGTTTATTTCATGTTTGTTTTGATTCTCAAAAAGCTGAAGAACTCCACCTAGTGACTAACTTTTGTTCTTTGCGTAAGTTTATGAGATACAACACTTCAAAATGAAAGGAATAAAATTAGTGAAAGATTTACTCACTGCAGGAGCTTTTTTAGGTTCTGTTGGTCTTTTGCTTTCAACCTACTACAAACATTCACTGTATTTTCTTGGAGTTTCATTCCATTCACTAAAAAATTGATCAACCATAGTGCGCCCTCTAGTCCAATGATGCATAGTGGACCAGCCGCCATGTTCACCCTTCTTTTCCTTAGCATGATTCTGAACAGACATATCAATTTTGGCATCTTTGAATTCTTGAGTTTTCAATTTCGCTACACGTTCCTGTGTTAATTTGATTAATTATAGCATTTTGCAATAAATGTACATTCCTTATTATTCATGATTGAGTGTGTGTATTTGTTGTTTTGTGGCATTTTCTTTCTCTTTCTGTGCGTGCATTTTCATAGGCTCCACGTTGACCCTATGCTACTCTAACATCAAGTATTCTACATGGGGTCAATGAGGCGACCTGGGATGGTGGGGGTGCTGCAATTTGTTCCACTGTCCCCCACCTTCCTATTAGATCTATAGGGTCAATGGGGCTACCCTGGGACTGTCGGAGCACGCAAGGTAGTGTGGCGTTTGTTCTGTGGCCCCACTCTCCCCAAAACCAACAAGAGTTGGTCTGCACATGATCGAGTGGCATTGTACACGATACTTGAGATTCTGTTCTAACACCTGCTGGCTGAACCATTCCCTGTCCAGTCCAGGGCTAGCCACGCCACACTTCAAGGTCTGGGCTATAGAGTGGGCGGTATCCGAATGCTCAGTTCCCTTCACCACCATATTGCATCACAGTCAAGAATAGTGCAGAGTGGCACTGCACTAGGGGCAAAATATTTCCCCCGCCAGCTGGTTCTGGGCGCATCGAATATTTCCAAGCCCAATTCCCAAACACTGAGGTCCAATGGCAGTTTCCCAGCAGCTACCATAGACAACACCAACCCACCAGCATGGCTCACAATGGTTCATACAGTACTAGAGTAATCCTATCACAAGCCCCTAAGGAGGAGTAGAGAAGCTGGATACAGTGTGTGAGAAGTTGGAATGGCTAGACACTTCTCAATTGATCACCAAATTTAATGATCCAGACAAACATATTACGCCAATGTTTGGGGTGCTTGCATATTCAGGCACCAGGCAGTCAATATAGAACAAAAGCAGCACATCAGCCATCTTGAACTATTGTCAGTGGACTACACCCTTTGAGCATTGGTGAACCATTATTGCAAGTTACACATTCAACTACAGGTTGACAACATCACCGTCATTTCCTACATTAGTCACGAAGGGGGGACAAGTTCTCATCCCTTGTAGTTAGATCTGGACATGGTGTCTGCACAGGGGAATAAAATTGTCAGAGGATTTCTACCAGGAGTTCACTATGTTGTAGCAGACTAACCTTCGGTGACAACACAGAGTGGCATCTCCTTCCCAAAACGTTTAGAGCAGTGGTAGAAACAAAATGATATTTCAATGCCCTGTAGATCTGTTAGTGTCACGGCTGAAGTGACAGATTCCAAGGTTTGTACTGTGGCACCTAGATAAACAAGCATGGCAAGTGGATGCATTTACCACCATTGAGAGCAACGTGGCAGGGTATCTGTTTCCTCTATTTAGTCTACTCTCAAGGTGCGTTCAAAAAATTTAAGTAGAAGAGGCCACAGTGCTGTTAATTGCACCAGTGTGGAAAACTTCAACTATGGTATCCACTGTTGTTGAAGCAGACAGTGCAAACACCATTGCTGGTACCATAGCGCCCAGATCTCCCTCGGTTATGTCACAAACCTTCAACAACACCCCATGCAAAAAGTGATGCAGCTGGCAGCTTGCATACCAGAAAATCTATTGGAGCAAGAGGACTCTGGCAGACGGTGTCCTCAATCATCATGTCCTCATGGAGGAAGGGAACAAATGCTCAATTTAAGTCAGCCTGGCATCCTTGGAGTTGATTGTTTCATCAGTGACAAATTGATCCAGTTCAAGCACCTGTAGCAGAAGTTTTGGAATTTTTTTAGATATTTATTCAATTTTGGATGTTGGGAAAGTTCTGAAGTTACCTTGGTTCACTTCCTTCAAATGGGAAGCTCAGTTGGAAGCTTTTCATGCTAAAGTTGGTCACATTGCACATTTGGTGTAAGCAGGGCGTCGCTCGTCACTATGCACTCTGGACTTTCATTGTGAAGAAATCTAGGACAGCATTTGAATTTGCACCAGTCAGCCAGTCTAAATGTTCCTCAGCTGGTATCTGGCAGACCCTAACATGTCTTTTCAGCATTGAATGTGTATACACGTATTTAGTGTAGAGGATTGCTTAGATGCCTATACGCTCAAAGATATTCCAGGCTATTTCTGTCATGTGGAAAACCCTATCATTCAGTAGTTTCATTAGCTATTGCCCAGTGGCTGAAAATAGTGATGGCATCTGCTAGCATTGATGTCTCCCATTATAAGGTGCATTCCACCCATACAGCTTCTTCTTCTGCAGCAGCAAGAGTAAGGGACCCTACATCTCAAATTTTAGTCACAGCAGACTGGTCATCAGTGAACACCTTTGCCAAGTTTTACTAGCAAAATGTCCCACTTTCAGATGAATATGGATGGGCATCGCTTTGGAGTGTGCGGCCTGAAAGACCAGGGAAATCCACCCAAAGGCAAAAGGAACCTGTGATTCAGTAGTACTAGCAGCACGAGTTCCTCCCAAACTGAATGAATGATTGTCCGGATGCCCAGCAGAGTAAGATGCCAAACACGGGGGAACTGAAGCCACAGAAAAAAATGCGGCAGCTTGGGAGAATATGACATTGTCCGCCTGAGTGGACACTGGTGTAGGAATCTGCAGACATGCAGTAGAACTTGGAGGTGGAAGGGGTAAAACCGCCGGGCAATTACAGCGGGTTCTGGCTGGCTTGGTCGTTGCTATTGGTCGACTTCCCGAGGCCAAGGAGTTGGTGTATTTTGACCGTTTTTCTGCCTCTTTAACATCAGTGTCGATAAATCTAGCCAGCGGTTGATGTGTTCGTTGTCAATCAAACTGCTCAGTGTCTGAATTACCCCACAAAAACTTAACTAAATATTCCAGAAAATTGATAAAGGTCAACACGTTTAGAAGGCTGTGACAGAGGAACGAACTGATTGCGGTTCCCGCCAATTAAGGCAGCCCCACACCACAGTAACACTTTTCATTGGTCCAAAGTTAGTCTAAGGCAATTAGCATATGCTCGACTTCCAATTTGTATAGGCGCGACTTCTGATTTACATACGTGCAACTGCAATTTGTATGTGCCCCACTCTCCGTTTGCATAATTAATCCAGAAAAGAAAGTGAACTTTGACCTTGCATTGCATGAAAACACAGCCCAACGCAGACCAGCTGTGCTTGTGTGTGAAAGCCGCAACAAGAGGCCGAAAAGGTTTGTTTGGAAAGAGGACCAATGCAACTGATCAATTCAGACTCCACGCAGCAGGCAAAGAGTGGGGACAGTCACTGTGAATAATATCTTTTACCATAAATTTATGATAAAAGGTGATAACTGGGATTATATAAGGCCAAGGAAGACAGACTTACCTCCAGTCGCAGATATCTCAGTTTTTCTTCAGCATCCCACCCATTTTGATTCCTCAGACAGGTCAAAGGTATCTTAGATCTACAGAGACATGCTCAGGGGCTCGGGGGGTATACCCTTCATGCTAGGGCTAATTTGCATTTCATGAACGAATGAATCTACCATTTCTTCAAAAGGTGGTGCAAACCCTGTTAACAGGGACAATAATATATGGTTAGTCTCTTCTCTTCAGCCCCATAATTCCAAGTATGTGGCAGGTAAAACCTTTACACAATTGGAAATTATATTCATAGATTTCAGAGAATAGTTGATTGCCTTTGGATAATTTCACCTTCACCTTCCGTTTTGCTGCTCAGGCATCCTCACTCTGAGACACCCTTCATATACACTGTGCTGATGGTACAGGAAGCACCAACAGAAGTTATGTATCTCATCAGACAGCCCTGTTTGCGAGATGAGTAAGTACTTTAATAGTGAAAACAGACTATGTGCAATGAGAGGGATGAGAGTAACTACATCAGCATTATGACAAATGGCTCAATGCAGACACAGGCAAGAAGAATGCAATCAGTCCCATTTTAAAACATAGTAATTAGGACCTCATACAGAGATGGCTTATGCCACAATTTTCTGGTCTGCTGCCCCACTTTCATTTGACTCGTATATCTTGAGTTCAGTTCTTACTGTTTTTCTTGAAAAAGCAAGGATTTATCCAACATGCAAACAACAAAACAGAGTCATTTCTGTTCATATGTAGGTAACACAATATCTGTATATAAGGAAAGCTCACAAAACATTTAATTTTTAAACAGCTGGTAGGTAATCTGATTTTCCTGATTATTTTTATTTGATCGGCAAACATGTATTCATTGTTTTTAATTCATTCCTCCCACATAAGTGTTTTCAGAGGAAGAAAAGAAAGCTAATTCAACAAACTGTTTAGCTTTTCTGTCCTGATTCCATTGGTTTCCTCCTATATCGTGAATCCAGAAAGAATATTCCTAACAGAAATACACAAATGTGGCATTCCCTTAGAAAAAAGCAGACAGCTCTTGAAATCAGTATAAAGACATACAAAGGACATATTAAAAGAAAACCAGTCAGTGTCAAGTGTCAGATGTTATTCCTTCACTCTCGCTTTGTATGAGAATCATATTTTAAAATCCTGTAACACTAAAGAATGGGCAATTAAGACTATTTTCATTGGCCAATAAGTAATGTAGAGTGGGTGTGGGGTGTCACAAATCTCTAATCAGGCAGGCGTTGATCAGGCAGTGATTCTTCCTTATGGTCCTTGTAGAACCCAAGCTCCAACTGGTGCTCTGTGTTTGCGTTTCTCTTCTCTGGGAACTGGAGACTACAGTGATGGCATTGTATCCCATCACTCACAAAGGTAATGACACACAGGTTTAAACTTAGCTGAAGGCACCAGAAAAACTTATAGAATAAACCAATCACCTTGACCATTAGGATAAATTCTGTGTCTATTCAACAAGCTTTTGGACCTGACTGTCACGGATTGAAACAAAATTCAGTGTGCTGATTGGATTCCTTCAGAAACCCCCAGAACCAAAATTTTATGTCAATCGGTCAATCGGTTTTTGAGATACTGGTTAACAAACTTTTGACTTACTACCTTAATCTGCTTTGTTGGGACAGCCACAGTGGTATACTGTTTAAAAACAGTGACAGATTACCTTCGCAAAATGCAAGCCAAAAAATGAGGGTAATTCCCAGCAGGACATTTGTTCTGAGTACGGTCTTTTGTTACACGGACCAGGTCTTTAATTTGTCCCGTTTGGGGCACCCTAGCTCTGCGTGGTGCTTGAAATGGGGTTTCCCGGCAGCAAGTGGTTAAAGCTCTTGACAGGCAATCATATATAAAATTATCAAAATCATCCCACTTTCCACAGAAAGATTATTCAAAATATGACCTTTGACTTGATTTATGAATATGCGTATTTAACAAAATGTGTAATTTTTCATTGTGAGCTTAAGATGTAACCAACGTTTCCAGAAAGATTTTGGATGGGCACTCTTACAGTTTTCGAGTTTATTTGAACAATGACAAAATTGAAAATGTATATGAATGTGTATACTTTGTACATGTACATAATTTAAATGTGTGTAGTGTAATGTTTAGTTCTATGTATACATACAGGTATACATAAAAACTATGTCACCCATGTGCCATTGTTGTATCAAGTACAGTGTTCTTGGTTGTGGCGAGCTAAATCCTAAAAGAGGCAAGGGAGTCAGAATCCTCCTACCCCCTCGACATTCTTCCTCACATTATCACAGTGCTTTTTTTCACGTACTAGACCTTCAGCAGTTTCTAAGTAACTCCTTTTGGTCATTTTTACACCAATTTTGTGAAAGTCAAATTTACTGTTCTTGCACAGTACCCATTTTTCCAGGACAGGTCAACCAAAAACATGTACAGCAGGATCCCCCCACCACTGAGGTAGTCCATATTAACTTGAAGGGTGGCTAGAACACTGGCCACATGTTGTGGCCAGTGTTCTAGCCACGATGGACGGCACTTGGCAGGCCAGCCCGGCACTGAAAATTTGTGCTCGGAACGTAGGTCCGAAATAAACTCTGCCGCCCAGCACGAATTTCCCCAGATTGAATAAAAGTATTGCCAATATTTTGTATTTTGTTCACATTCCTGAATAAAAGTTCACACTTTTCTGTGTTTTGAAATGTGAAGCACTGATTCTCAATGTTTACAAGACGATAACGGCCTAATTTCCACGCCACGTAATTCCAATCCTAGCTCTTCAGTGTTTGGTGTATTCACTGGTATGCACATGCACAGGCAAAGTTTGCGCTCGGCCTAATCTTGTTCGTAGTCATGTCAAAGCACGATACTGGCGTAGGGTTATAAATTCTCGGTTGTACCATGTTTGTAGCTGGTAATTGATCATGGCTTCGCAAAAAAAACGGAGGAATTCTTCGGTAAGCGAAAAAGACAGGAACTCGAAGAGAATGAGGATGAAACATTACAGTACAATGTGTCTGAGAGCTGGTGTAAGAGTTGTCTTTCAGTCTTTGCCAAGGAGATTCACCGTTGGGATGCAGCTTCTGTGTGTACAGGAGAAATGTGTTCACTGGACGGCGGGGGTTCCCGGCACTTTATACATCAGATCTGCTTAGCTTTTGTTGTCTTTTTCCTCTTATTTTCGTGAGGTGGTCACATTTTGTTATATACTGCAGCCTGTTGAAATCAGTATGTATTTTAAAGTCTGTCTTTTTTATGTCTCTTAAATTTTCCCTACCTCGATTGCTGAAATAAATGATAATGTCTGTGAACACCTTGTTTTGAAGACCAGCTGGTGTGGCAATATTCGTCACAGGCAAAGCATTTATTTTGTCCACGTCCTCTGGAGTAATGGGGTTTTTATGTTTCACATACCCCTTTCCAACTTTCTTCAAGTGAACAAGCACCGCTTTGAGGCACCTATTGTGTCTCTCCAACTTTCACAATGTCAACTGGGTTGCTTTCTCTGTCTCTGAAATGAACCCATACCTGATAGATTGAATTGATTTATTGCTGTAGTAATTGTCATCAACCTGATGTACTTCCATGTAAAACCTCCACAAAATGTCATTTAGAGCTATGTTACTCCCTCCACTGCCGACAATGTTGTGCCTCTGTCACCGCCACAACTGGAGAAAATGTTCGTGCTGTATTTCACGCTCTTTTTAGTGCTCAGTGAATCAGCTTAGTCAAGAAATTCTTTAAATTTCTTGTCCAAGAGAAGAGCAGGTCATCAGTGTTTTATTTGCAAATCATGTGTGATGTTAAAATGTGCTTACCGACAACATACAGGACGTAACATATACCGGCATTTAAAAGGGCACCTGACTATTTGCATCTTCGTTCTCTTAACCTATTAAATTTGTAGCTAGTACATAGCTTGGTTCAACGGGTTCGAGAATGACAGATAAAGGTTTATGCTATGAGCTGAAATACACACCTGGGTACTGTTCATGCTTTCATTGCTACAGATGTAGTTCTTTGGTTGCTACGGGTATAGTTCTTTTTTAAAGCAAGGCTGCAAGTGTTTAGTTTTTTTGGAGTTTTGGTACAAAAAAAATAAAACTAGCAAACATCACATGACACACGTTTTGCCAATCAAGATACAGAATCTGTGGTTTACGTGTTATAAAACCCAGTACACATAAGTTTGAGGGGTGCCGTGTCAGTACTGTGTACATATGTACATGCAGGCACGACATTGCCAGTGGCTTGTCGATAATAGTACCTCATAAATTCATCCCAGAGTGGATAAATATAGAAAAGAAAATTGAAGGTTTTTCTGTTGTGCATACATTTGATACATTAATTTTTGTACACATATGTTTTCGTTGTCATGGGAAAATAACAATTGTCCGAGTATTATAACCCAGATTTCCAGTGCTTGTCTCTGGAAAACCTCGTTTGGCCAAGGGTGGAGAGACAGACAGTTCAGTATCTAGCAGAACCTTAGGGAGTCTTTGATTGGCCAAAGCATTTAGTAACCACCCATTCACTATCTAGCAGAACCTTAGGGAGTCTTTGATTGGCCAAAGCATTTAGCAACCACCCATTCACTGCAGGCGGTGCATGGTCCCTTGCAGCCTTTCACGTGCAGCCCTGCATGTTTCCTTGTTTCCTTCAGAGCTAGCTTCCTTCAAAATACCCACCCTCCATGACCTTATACGTGGAAAGAGTAACATAACATAACCCATAACTTGTCTTGGTTTTGTGGGTAGCAGTCAGCAGTACATATACCTTTTCAGTACACATTATGTTTTGTGTAGGGGTAGTGATTTGCAGCACCCTTTGGGGAGGCAGTGCCCTGTAGTGGGCGGGGCTTTTTGTGTAAGGGCAGTGATCTGCCGCACTCTCTGGGTAGCAGTGCCTTTAGTGGGCAGTGCCTTTTGAGTAAGGGCAGTGATCTGCCGCACTCTCTGGGTAGCAATGCCTTTAGTGGGCAGTGCCTTTTGAGTAAGGGTAGTGATCTGCCGCACTCTTTGGGTAGGCAGTGCCTTTAGTGGGCAGTGCCTTTTGGGTAAGGGTAGTGATCTGCAGCACTCTTTGGGTAGGCAGTGCCTTTAGTGGGCAGTGACTTTTGGGTAAGGGTAGTGATCTGCAGCACTCTTTGGGTAGGCAGTGCCTTTAGAGTAGGGGTAGTGTTCAGCGGCACCTTTCAAAAACTCAGTATCTTTCGAGTAGAGGTGGTTATCTGCAGTACATTTTTAGAAAGGGTAGTGCTCAGCAATGCCGTGTGTGTAGGCAGTACTTTTTGAGTGGGGGTAGGGATCACCTTGTCTGCGCATGTAAACACAAAGAACATTGTCCTGGTATGTGGTAATTAAAAGGAAGGGGTCTCAGAACTTGGTATATTTCCCCCAGAGGATTTGTGAACCTGTTGGTTCCCTTGGGAATGGACTTGTTATAGTTTCCCTGGAAGATATGTGAGCATGTCTGTTCACTTTGAGTGGACTTGGTATACATGTAGTTCCCCTGGAGGATTTGTGAACCTGTTTGCTTCAGGTGGACTTGGTATACCCCCAACAGTTTCATCTGGGCCTTGGGGTATCATGTCGGAACAAGTATGACTGGGCAAGTATACCCAACTGTGAATACACAAATTCTCCGCTGTGGTGCCAAAGCTCTAGTCCTTCGGCAACTCCTAGCAAAGCCAGGCATGATTGAAACAAGGAAGGGAACGCTGGTCTATCCTCAGTCCCTGTTCGTTCCTCTCAGACTCTCAGATAGTTAACTAGACATCGCCACAAGGCATTATTTTCCAGGTTGCCTTTGTGCCAGTGCCATGCAAGCGTGAAATTAGGGTTGGTTATATAAGATGTTTTCCTAGGGCTGTCCTAAATCCAGATGATGATGGTTGGTGAACAAGATCATTGGAGAGCTTGTTCAAGTCTACCATTGTCTTTGCAAAAAAAACTTTGTTGATATGCCTGTGTACTGCACCGCAAAGAAGCGTAGCATTGATTGTGTCTACTTCCCTGCGATCTTTCCACTGGCGTGATATAACAAGGGATGTTGACAGCAATTTATTTATGAATGGAATGATCAAATGTTGCGAGTCTACTAATTTTTGTACCATGTTAAAGGGCTGGCCATTAGAGATTTCGCTGCATACCCGTGACACCTGACATTCTTTTGTAGTCACCTGTTACAAATCTTGCCGCTTGCATCTGTACCTGTTTCAATTTACTAATGTAGTTTAACTGGAAGGGATCCCAGACTACAGCTGCATAATGTAGCTGAGGTTGAATCTAGGTTTTATAAGCTGCTTCTTTTACAGCTGGCTCACATTTAGAGAGATACTTTTCACATGACCAAGTGTTCTGTTAGCTTTGCTTACTATTTGATTGATG